TCCCCAAGGACCACATAAGGCACCAGTATTTCATGTATTAGTGACTGGAATTCGTATTTTTCGAGACGGTACTGTGGAGGTATGTAAAGAGAGCAGATGGTGACAAGTTTGCTCAAAAAAACTGCTCGAACAGCCACTGCCTCAAGGGATGTTTGTAGCGGTAGGTGTGTACATGCTATGCCCTGATCAACTATAATGGCCACACCACCAGATAACGCTACAGCGTCATTGCTGTCCCTTCTGAATATTACATAATGACGTAGAAAATTTGTGTTTTTGGAATTTAAGTGTGTCTCTTGTACACACAACACTTTTGGGGAATGTTTGTGTAAGAGCTTCTGGATATCATCGAGAATTCTAAGCAGCCCTCTGACGTTCCATTGTAATATTTGTGTATCCGTTTTGATTGTAAATGAGTGCTGTGTGTACTAAAGAAGTATTGCGTCAAGTCAAGAAGCCTTGTCAGGCCCTGTAATGATGGTTTTTGATTTCCTGGCGCGCTCCAAAAAGCTGCGCCTGTCCTTCGGTGCCGAAGACACCGTTGGACTTGCTGTTGTGTCCGTCACCTCGGACGAGATGCTGGATGCCCGCTCGCGGTTCGCGCGTGAAGGCACGGAGGTCTTAGGGCTATCTATGGAGACAGAAGGCCCTGGGGCTTTAGGTCCGGAGGCCTGCAAGCCTTTTGGTGGCTGAAGAGCCTGTGCTACTTCCGCTGAGGGGGTGAATGGCGCTGCCGCTCGTCCACTTTGTGTGGTACGTGCGGGCGCCGCGGATTTTGGCGGCACTGCCCCCTTTCGTGCCACCTCCGCAGACGAAGGTCCCTGCATTAGTAGACGCTTGCACGCCTCCCTAAACGAGTTGTTTTCATTTACTTTCAGTGTGAGTACTTCTTTTTCATGTTTCTATATAGGGCATGTGCGAGAGAAAGCAGGGTGTCCACCATCGCAGTTCGCGCAGTGTGTAGTGGTTTCTTCACAATTGTCTGTGGCATGTTCGTGCGAACTACACTTTGCACAGGTTTGACGGCCGCGGCTGCACGGAGAACCGTGGCCGAATCGCTGGCACTTAAAACAACGTCGGGGGTTGGGGATGTAGGGTCGGACCTTTAACTTCAAGTAGCCTGTTCCGATATATTCTGGAAGTGTGCTTATGCAAAATGTAAGAATGAGGTGCTTTGTAGGGGTGTCTTTGTTATCACGCCTAATCTTAATTCTCTGTACATGCGTTACATGCTGTTCGTTCCAGCCCCCAAGTAGATCACTCTCTGTCAGGTTAATTAGGTCTTGATCAGACACTACGCCTCGAGAACTGTTCAGAAAGCGGTGCGATAGATACAAGCGTTGTTCCAAAAGAGGTAAGTTTTGTCAGGTTTTCATACTGGGTCTTGGTTTGGACTTCAAAGAGAAGGTCCCCGCTAGCCATATGTGTAGCCTGATATCCTGGACCTAGTGTATTGGTGAGGCATTTAGAAACGACAAACGGAGAAATGGTTCTTGTGTTCTTTTCTTGCGTTTCACAGAGGATCACATGGAAGCGCGGGAAAATTTCTTTCCGCTTTATAAACACATTCAGTGTTGCTTCAGTGCGCCCCCTCTTAGGAGGATGGTGATCAGACAGTTTAGGAAATGAAAAAGAGGCCATAAAGTATATTTAAATTCGGCAGCCATGCCAGCCGCCCACCATCGAGCCCAACATGGGGACACGGCAGCACAAGGCATCCCAGCGCCAGCTGTACAAAGCCACTATAACCCGATAATATGTGACCAAGAGAGGGCACATACACAAGGTTAACCCTTGCCGCCTGGAAGATGGAAGTAACTAGAAGTGAGGAGATGACAGGAAAGATTGGAAGAGAGAAAAGACAGATCAGGAGGGAGAGAGAGACTGGAAAAGGTGACTGCCGATTTCCCCTGGTTGGGTCAGCTCAGGGGTGCCGTCTACGTGAAGCCGGGGCGAAAAGGGTGTGTTGCCTCTGCCGGGGGGCCTTAAAGGTCCCATCAACCGGCGTCGGCTCAACCCCCAGGATCGCCTTTTCCCTGGACACGGCAAAGCTACGCACAGCTAAGTGTGGGAGGGAGTCAAAACTCCCCCGTTAGCTAGGGTCCGTGGTGTCGCTACACACCAAACGCCTGCTTACGCAGACGGCCCTGCGGGGAACAAGCATGTTCTAAACATTTGGTCAGGATGAATTTGTCTCGAAATCGCTGGCTGGCAGCTTTGTTGCCACATTTACCATGCTCAACGAATGCCTCCCATCCCTGAATGTTATAAGAATCTCCGGGTCATGTATTGCTTAACCCATTCGGTTCCAATTTGTAACTTAAGAGATTCTACTCAAAAAACTTTTTTTTTCAAAAATTACATGCATTTTGTTAGCATTTGTTTTGTTAAGTTTAGTAGCTTTCTCTACTTGCACGACAAATGAGTGATGTATTTAATCTGGAAATAAGCTAGAATCACTTTTATGGAGTACAAGGCAGCAATAAATAACTAAAAAGAATGCATTGTTTAGGGTAGGTTAAGGAAATGCAATCTGGCTGCTTGCCATTGTTACTTCAGACGAGTTCACCAAGGCCACATGCTCAATACAAACACCATTCCCAAGCTCTTTTGATTGAAGAAACTAAAAAAGCATATGCTTGACACAGAGGCGAGCTTTTATTTTAATATTAAAATGCATTCTCTCAAGGCGAAATGATGGGCAACTCGAGTTTCTATGTGACGCTTCTGGTACTGCTCATTGCCAGATCTGGACGAAAGTTTTCCCACATATCCCCTAGACATATGCAGAGCAGATTTATTTCTTCAAACTCTATACCGCTTATGCAATTCTTACAAACTTGAAGTAAGCAATCAGTATTAGCCGGGTATTCTGAGACTTCTCATATAATAAATTATCTTGTTAATTAAAATGTCCCACACACAATTTCTGGTATGTTTCCTGCATGCTACAGTTAGCGATATGAGCTATTAGTGGCTGATAAATATGTAAAAGTTTAGTGGCAGAAAAGGAGCGTTCAAGAAGATGTGCTACAGATTTTTGCAATACAAAACTGAAGCTACGACACTTGCTGTAAAACCTACTACATAGCGTATTTAATGGCGTAATCCTCGCACTCATAATTCTCGCACCCCCCACATCGCCCAACAAGAATACGAATTCTTGTTTTCCTCGAGTAATTATCGCACCCCCGAAAACTGCCGAAATAAGGTCGTCTGCTGGTTCCAGCCAAAGATGATAGCGTGCGCCATCTCTTACGCATGAAGCGTACTATTGCACAGATTTTCAATCCAATCCAAGCCAAGCCGAAGTGGCCAGTGCGCGTTGCGGCGTATTTTGTATGTTGTGTCGGATTTTTTGGCACGTTATGGGCAATACTGAAGCTACATGGCTGCTTCAAGTTGCAAGTGATAAATCGTGCACTAAACAACGGCAACAGGGCCGCCGTTAGGCCCTTCAGAGTCTAGGAGTTTTGTGTTCGCTATTGGTGATGGCAGCTGAAAGCCACCAAGATAGATGCGTTGGGCATGCCGTATGCCTAAAACTGGGATTGATGGTAAATTTTGTTTCTTCAGAAGGAGACTGCGGACGACTCTGTTAAATAGCCATCAGCCCAATATTGATGTCCGACGCTTACCTTTTGAGGGCTCCTGCTGAGCGACGAACACTACCGCTACGCCCGCAACGGCCACAAGCTTTGTGTATGGCATTCTAATTCTCGACTATTTGCTTCCACTTTTTGTGTCTCAAATAAATCTTGCCTTGTGTTGAACCTCTGCTTTTATTGTTGAAGTAAGTTTTAATTAGTACTTCTTAAAGCTTGTTAATTGCTGGTGTGAGAATCCGGATTTGCGGCCACTTCGTTTTTTTTTTTTTTTTTCGCTCTGTACGTTTTCGTGCAAAGTTTTCGCCGCGTAATTCTCGCACCCCCCAACTTTGCATCGGTTTTCCAGCAAAAAACGTGCGAGGATTACACGGGTAAATACGGTATTTAAAATCTGCATAAGCAACTTCCTGAACAGCGAAAACTTCCATTACCTTAGCCTACAGAATAAGGGAGCTATTTTTGAGTGGCATCTCCCCTTAAAGATTGGATGTGACTTGCCGCTATTTATAAATCCAACACGCAATCTGCAAATCAAGTTTTTATGAAAAGCAGCATTCCTTGAGTAGCACAAGTGCACAACTTGTTGCAGCAGCCGCCAATTTGAAGTTACACCAAGTTGGTGGGCTTGATAGTGGGAAAGATGAAATGCCTCTATGAACTTGTGTTCTAAGCCCAATTTTGAGCTACTCTTTAATTTTCTACTCAACTAAATTATTTCCTCAGAAATAATGAATTCCCAGCTAACTTTTATACACCACAAATTAAGAGATGAGCAAACACTCATGGTTTTCAAAAACTTATCAAATGAACAGTGTGTTATAATTCATGCAGCACACAATGTACTTCCACATTTATTACGAAAGTGGACCTTGTTAAACAGATTCCTTGGTTATGAGAGGGGAACTACAACACTCAATATTCGAGAATTGAATGAAAGGTTTTAGAATGATTTGACCCGTGCGATGACTGCGCTCTTATGCTTACCACGCCAAGTAAAATGCAGTTTGATCACTATGCCAGTCAAAGTTAAGCTAAAGGGACTTGATACTTTAACTAATATCGATCAGTCTTGCCCGACTGCATTTACCCTTTGTATAGTGACCAGAAGTATAATGAAATCTAGCGGTCGACGTCAAACTATTCGAACGCTGAAAAAGTTAACCATAACAATGTTGACAGTGGGACAACTGGTGAGTCGCAGCGCAACTTTACTGCGCATGTGATCAGTTTACGACGCCCTCGTTCAGCACGTGGTCATTCAGAGATGAAGGTATGATTATCGTCAGACATACTTCCCTAGTGTTTGTGCAAAAGTAAAAAGTAGTAATACAGATATTCTACACATTTTGTAGATACAATAAAAAAAAACAGTTTGTAATGTCCCCATCTCACCTTTTCCTTCCTCTTGATAAAAATGAAGGTGGGCATGCACGAGATCTCGTAATCAGATGCAATCTCCTGGAAAAGAGAACCAAATGAATGAAATGTAAGCTTAATTCACGAGAAATAAATGACATTTTTGGTGCCAAAGTCATGATCAGACTGAGAAGCACGCTGAAGAGGGCACTTAAGTTGGACTAGAGATGAACAGTGACATATCAAGTTATTGAACGATTACAAGGGAGCCACGCGAAACTTAATTTTTATGTTTATGGGCAACTCTCTAGCAGGGACGCTTATCACGAACACTAGCGTGGTAATTTCGCTCTGCTTTATTACGAAGTTTGCAGAGAAGATTCAATTTGCCAGCACATTTTGTCGCTCCAAGAAGAGAACGAAGAGATGAGTTATGTTTACAAACAGCGATGAAGCGCTTTGCATAGATCCGTCTTTCAAGGTATACCACATTCTGAAATACTATTGTATGTTTTGCAGTTCTGTGTAATCCCGCCACCAATAAAACTGTCGCTCATTTTCTTTTGCAATTTTTTCGAGAGCAATAAATACCATAATAAAGTAATTTCACCACCAGGAAAAGTTTTTCTCAAGAGAAACTCGAGAGTCAGAACATTAACATGCACCCATATTTGGTACACAAGTGTTATTGCATTTCACCCTCGTCAAAACGCCACAGCTGCGATTAAGAATCCTCTAAGCTTGAGGGTGAGCCAGGCAAGCACTGCTTCCTGCTATTAGTTCTTGCATTTGGCGATTGTTAAACCTCAGAACTACGTTCTCTTCCCCGCCATATACCTGCTTAGACAATTTTTACCAACCAGTCACCAGCTACGTGACCAAAGTGGCACAAGATCGAAAAGGAACAAAGTGCTCGCACTGCGGCCACAGCCTCACCTCATTCTCGTCAACGTCCACCTTGAGGAAGATGGCCACGTCGCTAAGGATGTCCGACTGTTGCTGCAGGGACAAAAGCAAAAGGTACGTCAGGCACATTTACTCAGTGACAACAGAGAGTACTGCGAATGCATAGCATTTACTATAAGTACACTAGAGAAAACTCTGGCGCTAGTGTTTATGAAATTTGCAACGAATGGCATATCAGCGAGCATGGGAATGACTGGTAGCACACAAATTTGCCTAGTCTTCATACTTTTGGCTTCGTGTGGCTCGATGTCACTTTGTAACAAAACAACAACCGGCAAATGTTGAGCAGTTCCATTTCACCACCTTAACCTTTTAGGCTCATCGATTCGGGCCACGAAGTTCGCAACCATCCGTTCTTTTATTCGAAACAAAACCGAAATGCAACGCTAATTCTGCAAGAGCGTTTGAAGCCTACAACTACGTAGACCAGGCCATTCTGCATACTACGCATCATTCCCAAGGTCTCTGAACGATTGCAGCACCAGAGTCCCCTCCAGTTAATTTTAAAAAACTCAATGGGTGGATGAACTTCCGAAGTAAGCATTAGAATTCCTGTTTTGCAATTGGCCTCCTTTCCTGCTAACCAAACCTCTTCTCATACTATGCACAACTTCCCTAGGTCATTTGCAAGGGTAAAAATACAAGTACAGCTAAGGCTACTATTTCGCAAACGTGGAATGACTATTGTCAGCGGCCTTGCTACTGGTGCCACTAAGTGCAATGAAACATTCCGACAAGACCTCAACGTAATGAGAGGAGGGGTTGAATGTGATCCGGTGCAGAAGACTTGCTGTATTTACTTGAATGTCACACACAGCGTTTCCCAGATTTTTGCTACCTGAAATCTACCACCCTCAAGCTATGACCGAATACTTGTATCACTTGAATTTAAGTTGACGGGAAAGTGCAATGATGCTGATAACATTTTTATTTTTTTTTTCCTGCATGCAATTAGAGGTAACCCCTGCCATAGGTTGCCGAACTCACTCTCGAGTCTGCTCCCTCTTACTCAGTGGCACGAGCCTGAGTGAGGCCAGTTGAGAAAAGTTTTAGCAAGTTTGAGTACAAGCGTTTTTGCCAACCTACAGTTCTATTTATTGAACTTCAGCCTTACGTTGGCTCACGTTTCTACTCGTGCCGACTCATATATAGCACTTCAAAGCACCAGCGTTATTACACCTGCCAATTATTTATTGATCAGAGGCAGGAGGAGTTAGAGAAGGGAAGTGCCTATTAAAATTAAAAGCGCCAACATTTCGGAAAAGCTCCATAAACATTGTTTTGTTATTACAGTGTGCGTTGTGTTTCACACCATCGCACCAGTGTGACCTTGCAGTCTTGAGCACCAACGTGCAGGCATGCTCAGGGAAGTTCGTCAGCTTTATCAGCACCTAAATTAAGAGTGAGGCAGGGCGGAACCCGCTTAGAAGATGCACCATGAAACTCACTTCTGCGCTATAAATAAGGGCAACTCAATGAGAGCGGCGCGAAAACCTCGTGCCTATGGCACATCGCTACTTCACTTTCACGTAAATGCCTGCAACGAACGCCATGTAAACACCATATTGTCAAGGAAAGCAGGTCATCAGACCTTTAAGAAGGGCTCGATCATCTTGCACGGCCCACACCATGTGGCGTAGAAGTCCACCACCACCAGCTTGTCGCCGGCCTCCTCGAGCTTCTTCTGAAAGTCCTCCTACAATGCACAAAGTAAAGGTGTAAGGCCGAACAATATCTGAGGCAGTGTTCCCAAGGAGAAAGCTTGTGTGAGAAAGGTAGAAAGTTGGCCAAAGCTATAAGACGAACACTTATGGGAAGACTGAAGAGAAAAACAATTATTTTCTGCATAAGTAAAGTACTCTTTCTCAATTCCAAGATCACTGTCTGCCGCAAGAAGACATCTGGTGAGAAAACACCAAAAAGTAAAATACAAGTGGCAGCGCCACCTTGAAACTCCCGCACCAAACGTCGTGCCATCTTGCATTTTGATGGTGTCCCCTACGTTCTACATAGTTCCTGGTCAGTAAAAAAAAAACTACATTGACCTCTGAGAAGACTATCAACTTCACATACAGTTTCAGAAAATTTCCTTTAGCCAATGACGCTGAAGTAGGACAAGTGCACCTTGACATCGGTGATGTCACGCGTGAAGATTTTAGCACGAAACTTAAATATGAAAGTAACCTTGATTTCCTTCTCTATGAATAAACATATGATTATTAAATTTACGTCATCTCAGTTCTCAGTGTACAACTCGTGAATGTAAGCACAATTGTTTCCTTTTAGTGTCCCTACAACGCAAGCACAGAAAAGTCAGAAGTGCTTGTTCCGTGTCCTCACGGTAAGTCGGCAATGAACGAGCAGCTGCCAAGCATGTGGTGCCACCTGTGAAGTGACTCATGAAGTAGCTTGGAAACGTGTGAGCCTTGCTCAAAGCAGTAGTGGGGAGATACGATATCTCAAGTGGAAGATCCGAACTCTTCAAACACTGTGAAGGGGTTAAAAAATGCCAGGCCTGCGCGGAACGCACAGCACAGTCTCAGCGAAAGCTAGAAAAGCGGCCTTTAAGAGCCTTTTTTTAAACACTCTGGGATGGTACAAGTATACTCACTCGGTACCCAGTATGCCATAGGAAATGTATCTTGTTTAGTAAGCCAGCGTTCACTATGCTATCCTTTGCCATTCTTTGGAGAAGCGTGGTATACGCTACACAATTTCAAGGAATTTTGTGCCAATTTTTTTATGCAGCGGCTGACGACGATCCCGGAAGTAGATATGCACCACAGTTGATAGGTTATCAAGCGCAAGTTTTCTGATGGGTTGGAGCATTAAACGACCCAGTCATTCACATTGTGTGACACCTAGCTGTTCCTTTGATGTTCTAAATAACTATTATTCATATTAACGAGATTCCTTTCCTGACATCAAGCTTGCCTAAGGCCAGTTTAGAAACGAGTTCTAAGTACAGGCGTGGCTCAGTGGTAGAATACTGGGCTGGCACGCAGCGGACCTGGGTTGGAATCCCTTGGTGTCATTTGTGTTTTTTATTTATATAGGTTTTTTCGCTCAATTCTGGTTGCGAATACCCGCAGTGGCGGACTGCAACGTGTTCCGATCTCAAAACAGCTTTTGCTGTAAAAGGCCTTGCAACATTGTCTGGGACTGCCTCTGGTAGCACTACAGTGTGTAATATTGAGTACTGAGATAGAAGAAACGGGCGCATGGGAACTGAAGTGTAACATCAAGGACCTGGCCATGCGACAAGAGTAACAGTTTTTTCCCCCAGCATTTCAGTCTCAGAGATGTCCCTGGCTGCCTCCCATCAGCCTGCACCTCTTAAGGATGTATAGTCAATTTGATGATTTTAGAGACCGCATGACTCTAGAAAAAGCCTAACATCCCTGCTGCTTTGGCAGGCAGCCTTGACTTTCAATGGCCGGCCTGTCCTAAAGCACTTCAACATGTACTGTGTAGTCTGACCGAACCCATTAACTGATTGCGGGGTAATAAAAGCTTTCTCAGGTCCAGTGGTCTCAAATTTTGACAACAGAACAGTACTTATGGGCAAGCTCAATTTAGGACTCAGTGGTACACTCAATGTGAGCATTGTTCATGCAATTTATCTTCTAATCTACACGATCTCATCACTACCACTCTGGCCTAGATTGTGGGGCTCCCCCTCGTCAAATAAAAAAAGAAGAGTCGAGCCTTCAACATCGCTTAGATATATTTTCTTTTACTGCTGTTTTATGTTCGCATCATCCGACATTACATTCAGAATTCAGATTCTTTGTAACATGAAGTCATTTCGAGCAATCACTCATATGAGCTGTCATACTAGAAATTCTGATGTGTCTCGATTGACAAGTACAGCAGCCTAAGTGCTGCCTCGTATTGGCCTTTGCAAACCATTGCACAGTACATTAGCGCACTTACGTCATATTGAAAACTGAACTATCCGTGTGTCTTCTAACGTATAAAGATCGTTGCCAGATTTTTAGGCGTACAATAGAAAGGCCCAGAAGGTACCATATTAATGAGTGTGACGCATTTAGCCAACTGGAATGCATACTGCCAGTGCCACTGTCACAAGTACCAAACATTATTTCTAATATGTGGGGTTTGACGTCCCAAAACCACGATATGATTATGAGACGTAGTGGAGGGCTCCAGAAATTTCGACCACCTGGGGTTCTTTACCGTGCACCCAAATCTGAGCACACCTTGAGACACATTTGTGCTATACAAGTGCCACAGAGGCTGAACAACTAATAACACCCTGCCATAGCACTAAGTTGAAAAGGAGCACAGACACAAGACCGTCTCATTACTTGGAAACAAAACCACTAAATGCTACTTTGCCTGAAGCTTGCTCTTCACAATGCCAGACCAGACGCACGGCAGCATTAACGCAACAGCGTTAAAAGAGCTAGTTTCAGAAACATTTCAGTGTCAAAGCCATTGGTTCCGAGTGAAAAATTAGCATTGCCTTCGAGTCGGAATGCAAATAAAACCTGCTTCAGTCCCTGAACCAAGCCCAGGCCTACTGGGTGGCAAGCCGGGGATTTATCAGAGCCGTGCCCTAGCTTGAAACTGTTTCAAAAAAAAAAAAAAAAAAATACATGAATGTTGCAGTGTTAGGGGTTTCCTGAGGTATTACCAATAGAACTACACCGGGCGTCAAAAATGTGGATTGTGGTACGAGCGGTTGACATAAAGGCCCACGGATAACAAAGTGCGCAGGAATATTAGTGACCATCAACAACAGCCTTAACAAGTTATGCAGCCACCAGGGTGCGCATGTTGCCTTACTGATGAGTAGTAGTACTTCACAATAGGGAGAACTATTATGTAGCCCACTACACCGTGATTCAGCACTGTTTTTGCAGTAGTCCTTCTGCAGTACACACTTTGTATTGCCCCTGCTTTCTGTGTTTTGAACTTTGCAGCACTGCTTTTAACACTCATTCTAGCTTGATTTGAAATGGTCTGCTAGGAATAGGAAAGGGAACAATGGCTGGGAGGATACCCCAAAGCGATGGAAGTATGCCAAGAACGACGTGCCAGTATGTCTACAAAGTGTGAATGTTTGGTTTCCACAGAAGCTTCTCTGTGGAGTGTGGATATCCATGTCCTGTCGTGCCAGTGGTTTAAATTGAACCTCTTTGTGCACAGAATCAACAGAACAAGACCTAGCGTCACCTAACTAAAGCCTGGCCGACTTGGAAACAACTCGCAGCAGCTATCAAAGGCTAGAAAAAACACCAAGAAGCAACTAGATTAGTCTTTAGAATCTTTCAATTTTGTCATTTAAGGGTTTGCACGGTTCACTGCTACTTTGGCCAATTTCGTGCGTTTTGCGAGCATCAAAATGCGCCCGGTCGCCGTAGAAGGAACCGAAAACCATGTCCGCCAGGTAAGGACCTCCAGAGTGGTTCGACGTGCTTCACAGGAAGTGAAGACGGCCTGGATCGGACCCGCTCCCTTTATGTCAGCAGCCAAACACCACAGTCACTGATCCACCGAGGCAAACATTGTTGGGGCAATGCGTACATCCAACTCCAGTGGACATTTAAGCAAGTAACGGAAATACGGTACGGCATTACTACACCGCCGCTATGCAGCTTGTGACGACGAGTTCCCCGACCAACATGTGCCTCGTTCCCCATGCGTAAGCCGTGGCAACAATCAGGCGTCACAATGTCACAGTCAAATGAAGAAAATTTGTCGTATTGGCGTAGATTAACAGGAATTAGGTGCAGGAAAAGCGCAACGAGCGACAAAAAAAAATACAAGGAGCGGTACGAACACCGCCCATCACGGTATTGCTTGCGTAGCTGGCTAAAGCGTTCCCATTCAAGCGCCTAATGGGCGCAAAGCCACAGTTCCACAGAGAGCACTTCACGAAGGTGTACGGGGCGACAGCAAACACGAGGGCGACACTAAAGACAGCACAATTGCCAGTAGAAGTGACGCGATGTTTCGCAGACAGACGGCCGTGCGAGAGTTGTTCGGCAAAAAAGGAAGGCCTGGGGGAGTGGCGATAACTATGCGCGGTTTCATTAGTTTTCTTTTGATCTTTCGGCGACCTTCCAAATCCTCAAGCCACGCGCAGCGAACGTGGGGAGCCATTTTGCTAGATTTGCATATCCGCAGCCAGCCCCCCTCCCCCCGCGCCTGGCACTGGAAGCACGCCGCGTCAATGCAGAGGCAATCGCATCGCAACTGCACTCCGTGGGCGTTGGAAGAAGCACGTTAAACGGAACGCCATGCTCCAGCGAAGAGTCGCCGGTAACGCCACATCCGCGAAGAAAGAAATAGAAGGGCGTCAGCGGCGATAAAAAAAGAAAAGAAAACGCCGGCGGGTAAAAGGGTGGTCGTATGCAGCTGGCGAAGCTCGCGCCTTTTTCCTTTAAAAGCGCTTTTCGTTGCGGTTTTCTTTTCGCTCGGTCCGTTATATCGCAGCGCCAACTGGACGACCCTCCACTTCAACGTAACTATCAAATCAAGCTGTGACCAAAAAAAAAAAGAGAAAAAAAGCGCAAAAACAAGACCGACGCGGTCGTGCAAGACACGCGCCCTTTCAAGAACGAATGAATGAAAGGCCAACCCCTCGCCCTCCTTCCACACGAGGCTTGTTTGTTAAACAGGAGTCGGGCGTTATTAAAAAAAAATAGCAGCGCGTACCCCAAAACGCAAGTTGCCCGGCGATGTTATATCTTAAATAGGAAGGCGCAGGCAGAGCGCTAGACCACAGAACACCTACCAGTTTGGCTGGACGGAAAAGCCCGCGCGCACGCCTCTCACATTTAGGCCTACGCACACACACTGGTACCGGACAGCAACCTTCAGGCCGGTAGTCTTGTTTCGCTTTCGCTGGACCAACAAGACCAACAACAGCTCTCACCTTGCTTTCGACGACTTGAATGACCATTGTGACGGCGAGTCAAGCGGTGCTGACCGAACAACTTTCGTTCCACACGCAACACGTAGGCGTGGATCGCGAAGCGAAAGTGAGGGGTTCGAAGTGTCCGGGAAGGCGCGTATTTTTTGTCGGCTTCTCCCAAAGGCGGGAAGGAAATGGGGGGCGAGCTGTGCGTCGCCGCGATTGGTCGGGTTTTAATCACGTGGCTTTTCGGCCGGTTGTCACAGCAACAGACGCAGCTGATCATCCGGGTCAAGCACAAAATCGATCCGCTCCAAGCCCGAAGCATTTCCAGCGTGGTGTGCCCTTCCGTACGGCGAGAAAAAGAGAAAGTTCGGCCGACGGTAAATCAATCCGGCTTGTCCACTCATTTCTCTTGCTTCTTGAGCACGCGAAATTCGCCTTGTCCCTTCGCATGCGGCGGGCATTAATCTTTGAAGAGGTCAGAGAGTGGTCGCTCGGTCACCAATTGTGTCTCTTGTTTCTTGTGTTTATGCCTCTCGACAATCTTCCTCGATGTTACAAAGAAGCCCAAGTAAAGTAGAACAAAATGTTCCGCACAACAGCTTAGCCGCATAATGAAGCCAAAGCTCACCTGCCAAAAATAGAGCACCAACGCCACCAACTAGCTGTTCAACTCGTATATAAGTCGCACACCCGTGGTATGACTGTTTTTGTTTGGAAAGAAAAGACGGGCCATCGTGTGCTGCAGGAACGTCTTTATTTAACGTTAAAACGTCAATAAAGCTAGTACAATGAGAATCGAAAAATGTGCTACGTTTTGAACATGCGCAATTCTGTGTTACATAGAAGTCCTGGCAAAGTAGTTGGAACGTTGCGTTGAATTCTTCACAAGAAACATTTCTTCAAAACCGGAGACGTGAACTCTTGCACAAGAAAGGGTATATACCGGCTTCATCACGAACTTTTGAGAGGGAGCAAAAAACGCTTCAGTTGTAACCGTTAAAATTTCTAAGCGCGCGAAATTTAAAACAATTTCAATGACTATATGAGTGTTTTCAAACAATTTCGTGGGTTTCAGTTAGGCAAAACGCAAAAAACACCTACTTATTTAAATGAGGGGCATGTTTAAGCAACCCCAAGTGATTAAAACTAATCCATAGCATTCCTTGCTGTACCTTACAGATATATTAATAATGTACAAGACATTCAAGCAGCTGAAATTTTAATAACAAAGATGAAAAAAGCGAGCTGCTCAGTGATTCACGCTTAAGACATGTCAAATACCAATGGAAAACTCAACGTTGATTAACGATGCTGTATTGTCTAATTACGTCTTTTTGTTTTATATATGCATGGCATCAAACCTTTGACATGAAGGAAAAACTCTGGAATGGGAGAGAAACAAAGCAATTTGTACTCTTAAAGGCAAACACGTTATTCGTTGGAGTAAACATAAAAAAACATCTAATGCGAAAGCCCATTATAACAACCCGAAATAGAAATTAATGTTTGTGGTAAGTGGCATAGTACAATGTACTCACAAAAATAAAGAACTTGAAGAGCGAAGAATGACTCGATCAACTGCTTACAACAATAATTTGTAATATTCTCTCCTTGGAGACCTCCTAATTAGGTCATTCTCACCAGGATATCTGTTCTGCTGTAGAAAGGTTCTTAATCAAACCAAGGTGGTTTTGAATGCTAATCTATCAATCACTAAAAGTTATTTCTTGTAAGCATTTTATAATTCATTACAATTACAAGTTACATATGATCCCCTATGTCTCATTACTCGTTTCTTGGTCGATCCCCCCCCCCCCCCCAACAGTGGGAGTAAGCTATGCATTTAGGCCATCATAATGATTATAACGACAACATGTGGTGCGTGTCTACTTGTTCAGCGTGTAGCAGGTTATTGCATCAGTGAGAAACTTAAAAGGACACTAAAATGCAAACGCACAGCAAGTGTAGACCAATAAAGCATTCTTTCGTAAACGTAAGTTATATAGACTATCAGTCAATTTTCAATTGCAACGATGATTTATTAAGATATATTTAACAGCGCAAAAACTATTGTTACATGGTTTATTATGTAACAATAAAGGATGAAGGTATAGTGAGATAGATGCGAGTGATGAGGACATACGTAAAATTCACGTCAGGTTAAGAACCACCGCAGTGTCCCACGAATGCTGAAAAAGGAATAGAAAAAATGGCAGCATATCCACGAGGTGAATGATGGAGAGTGGGGCGAAGCATCCGTCCGTCCATAAGTTCTTGCTTCCGTCCGTCCATGCTTACGCCTGTGTGACCGTCGGTGCGTTCACCCACCCGTCCGTGCGTGCATCTGTTCGTGTGTCCGCACGTCCATCCGTGCGTCCATCCCTGCGTTCGTTCATCCATCCGCCCCTGCGTCCGTCCGTGCGTCCGTCCATGCATCTGTCTGTGTGTCCGTTCGTCCATGTAGTCAACACTCCAAATACCACCATCTCGTATCTTTTCATCATATATTCCCCATATAGAAGCACCGCCATCCAGCGGACATTCCAAAGACTAAACGAGAGGTGGCACACGCACACTTTCTTACGGCTTGCACTTCGTGTCTACTTCCCATATTTAAAAACCTCAAGTTCATGGTATATACTAGTTCACTGTATTCATGGCACTGCGGCCGAACGCTGGCAAAACCTTTCTAAAACCAAGGAGGTTACGCCCAGCGAGTATAACGAAGCAACCTTTTCTTGTCAGATAGGGCTCAATGTACATGCCAATGGCTGCTAATGGGCGATGAGAGAAAGGAGAATTGGGCTTTCAGTTAACGCGCACGCTCCGAATTTTTTATTGTTCAACAACGCACAGGAGCGATCTCCCACCGGCACCACCTTGCAGGTCAAAGCGTAAGACATGTTACGCACTACTACGAGGGACGAACGGGTGCCGTTTTAAGAAGCTTCGCTCCTAAAATATACCGAACAAGAAAGAGTACTGTACGATTTTATATATATATATATATATATATATATATATATATATATATATATATATATATATATATATATATATATATATATATATATATATATATATATATATATACAGCCTATCCGGCTTTCGGCCTCGTTGCACCAAGACAAAGGATACTTCCAAAAGTGACAATATAGTGAACTGGATTTCATCGTCTTTGATCTCAGAATATGGATATAATCGTGTTTGATCCCAGAAGCTTGGGTGCAGGAGTCTCTTTGCAGTGCAAGTCGTGGTTCGGGTCTCCCGTGGTCGGCTCTCGTTCGAAAGTTGCCTAGCGCACTCAATGTCGTAGTAAAAAAATTAAAGATTCTATCGTTCGCCGAAGATATATACGTATACGTACAACGCTTAAGACTACGACCACGCGACACCAGCGAAGCGTGCAAAGTTTGTCAGCGGTCTCGCTTAATGAGGCACAACGGGCAAATCGATTGAGCACCGCCACGCGGAGTCGACGGAGTAACTTCCCGAGATGGAAATGTGGACAAATCAGCACGAATGTACTACGTGGTGTCGTACCGAGGTATGTCGCGAAACCTGAGCAAGTATAACGCGGTCGTGTACAGACGTCCCATTGCGCGCTGTAGGCAAAAACGTTGGTAACTGACTTACAACGCTTCGTAACGACAAGCCATCATCATCAACAACATCCTGGCTACGCCCATTGCAGGGCAAAGGCCTCTCCAATGATCCGCCAATCAACCCGGTTTCGTGCTTTCTACTGCCCCGCTATACCTGCAAACATTTTCATATCATCTGCCAACCTAACTTTCTGTCTCTTCCTCACGCGTTTGCCCCCTTTTGGAATGCAGTCAGTTACCCTTAATGACCAGCCAGAGAGAGAGAGAGAGAGAAAGGAAAGGCCGGGAGGTTAACCAGATATTGGCATCTGGTTTGCTACCCAGCGCTGGGGGCGGGGAAATAGGGGCAAGAAAGAGGGGGTAGATAGAAAAAAAAAACGCGCACTCATGTGAAAACGAAAACACACATAGTAAGGGTGTCCTAGCTACAACTGTTCAGTAAGGCCGGTCGATCGCAAAAAGTGTAGTAGTGCTTTCAGGGCCTTCTTCTGTGAAGTTGCATCTTGTCGATATTGTAGAATTCCTTGATCCAACAGAGGTTGATTATCTAATTTGCTGAGTTCGTTGCGAAGGCATAGTCGTTGTTTACTATACTCTAGGCAGGCACAAAGAATGTGTTGGATCGTTTCTTCTTTGCTACAGTGGCCACAGGCTGTGGTGTCGGTCATCCCGATACGGAAAGCGTAGGCGTTGGTAAACGCAACGCCCAACCACAGCATACATAACAGGGTCTGGTCTGCTCGGCAAAGCCTCGACGGGACTTGGAGACTTAGCGTAGGGCCAAGCGAGTACAGTCGGGCATGGTTGAAGTGTGGCCAATTCCATTGTTATGTGGTTTGGTGGCGAGCAAGCCTGCGGAGCTTTCGTGCAGCATCTGTCCTAGAAAGTGGTAGTCGTAGTTTATGATCTTCTGTGTCGGCTGAGCGGGCAGCTTGATCGGTCCGTTCCTTGCCGATGATTCCGCAGTGACTGGGCAACCACTGAAATGTAATTTGGTGCCCTTTCTCAGTCAGGTGGTGTATAACCTCTGCTATCTCTAGTACCAGCTGCTCGTGTGGTCTACGGCGTAAGGCTGATAGTAGAGACTTCAGTGCCGCCTTCGAGTCGCAGAAAATAGTCCACTTGCGTGTAGGTTGATCAACGACAAATTGCAACGCGGCACGAAGTTCTGCCAACTGTGCTGCCATTGATGTTGTTGCGTGAGATGTCTTGAATTTTATTGTCGTGGCCAACCTTGGTATCACTACTGCTCCTGTAGAGCTGTCCGGCTGAACCGATCCGTCAGTGTGTATATGTGTGAAGTCTTGGTATTTCTCATACAAAAGAAGTAGTGTGAGCTGTTTAAGAGCCGGGGATGACAAATTGGCCTTTTTATGGACGCCAGGTGTGTTAATATTAATTATTGGTTTAGCGAGGCACCATGGCGGAAACACAGGTCTAGTGGCAAGAGAGAACGAAGTTGGGATCGACTCGCCATGTGCGGTCGCTGTTTTGCAGTAAGATGTGCATGGTCGGTCCACTGGTAAAGAGGCTAGGTGATGTCGAGGAGTTCGAGCAAGGTGTCGTATATTTGTCCTCAGCACTT